TTAAACGATTTCTTACTGTTCTGGTTGACAGATTACGACCAGGTAACCACTGCCTTTTAAGACGGGTGCTTGTTGCAGACCGAAAGGAGACGCAAAGCTTCAGCTATTTCAACAGAAATTTGAGATCGTACTCAAAAGATTTGTACAGGATAGTATGAGCTGGGTTTTTTATTTCTTGAATATGTATAATACAAATAATCATTAAAGTAGATAATGTAAGACTGTGAGATATAGCACTAGAAACATTCTCTCTGACTTAACAGTACGATATCATCGTGATTCTTGCTCCAGTCTCGCCGGAGAAATTCTGTAAAATTCATTTAGAGGCCGACCAACAGCTAAAGAAAAAACCCTCAATATAATTTTCTTTGTGTTATTAGTTGGTTTCAATAAAAATTCTTGCTCTTATTGTACACGTTTCAGTTCAAGACTTCCTTTGTTGTCACTATTAATTTTCTCTTTGTAAAACAGTTCCAGAATCTGCTGTGTAATCTAGCTACTCATAGCTTGCCTGTATGACATCAATAACCTGAATACCACAGAACTATTAATATAGTATTTATTTTTAATGTCTAATATCAAACTAATACTTGAATATATTAATTAGTTTGACTTTTAATCTTCTCAATAATTTTAATCAGTATTGGAAATGTAAATTAATTTTATATTTAATCCCTTGTACTTCTAATTCTGAAGCCCCCAGTGGCGCAGCGGTATGTCTGCGGACTTACGATGCTAGAATCCGGGTTTCGATACCCGTAGTGGGCAGAGCACAGATAGCCCATTGTGTAGCTTTGTGCTACAAACAAACTGATTCTGAGTTTAAACTATACAGATAAAACATTAATTTAAATCCACATAGTATTATAAAAACAATTTCAATTAAATTTTAATGTTTAAAAAAACCCAAAGAAATAAAAAAATCTGCCCATCTTCATTGAATAAACGAATAGGCTACCATTCTAAACAAAATGAACTATATATTCTACAATACCGGACAAAATTCTAAATATATCACAGATTACTACCAGTAAAAGTTTAAAATATACAAGTAATTGTTACGGACCAAATGCTGATGTTAATCATTTGTCACGTTATAGTAACTAATTAGAGTTATGTTTAAGCTTATTACTCATTATAGTCTAAAGTGTTACTTAAAAAGTCAGAATTAACACAGTGGTATTATCATTACCATCAGACATACCCGTTCAATGGCTGGTAATTCAGCAATACAGGGGAGGTATCAAAAGTGAACACGACGAAAATGATACACAAAAAATTCATTTTTGAATGTTTACTTTCTTCTTTAATATTTCACTCTAAATGTTCATTATAATAATTCGTGCACTTATCAGTTAGGCATTTGTTGTTTGCCTTCCTCCTATGAGGTAATCTAAAATTCCCTGCGTCGGGTTCATTGCCTTGACCGATTTTGGTTGTGCTCTGACCAATACTGTTAAGTCCTGAGAGGGGAGCTCTTGACTAACCCCAAAAGGTAATTCAAAAATCTAAGCCCTTTAGGACACACCCTGGATAGGTTTACTGTTGTGGTCGATTTTGGTGACACTCGGGCCAAAACTGTGAAAGGAGATACCGAGCGGACAGAGAGACAAAATAGCATGCATTATAATAAGATTATTCATATTATTTTAAAGTTATGGAGAGCAACTTACAAAACATTACAGTCCAAAACAAAACCGAGAATTCTAATAGTTTTAAACCTTTCTGTAAGCTACATGTATCATAACATTTGATGTGAAAACCTTGTCATAAACTTTTGAAATTATCTACTTCTTTACGCATACGATATGGTATTTTTTTAGAAATTCCAACATGACGGGTATGTATAATAACTGATCTATATACCTTGAATCAGTATTTGCACATTATCAAATTACAACTTGCGCGTTCTGAAGTGTAACTGTGAGCACTAAAAAACTCTGCTATTAGTTAATATTTTCTTTACCAAAAACATATATACTTGCATCATTCATAAATAAATCCTTCAACCATAGAAGACGTGACCAATAAACGGGTGTTTAACTCTTTAGTGCCTAAGATTGACGTCACCGCTCCTTTAGGAACTATTCTAAACCGTTGAATTGGCTGAACCTTGTGGAATCAACGGGATATTGCTGTTGTTGTTTTTGGTTTTTTTTTCTGAACAACTTCTATCTCCAGTCGAGGCTGCAGCTTGTCTGTTGCTAGGGTGACTCGACCTGACAGTACTCAGCAGCGTGTACTGCATCCCTAATAAGATGCACCTGTGCGTGAAAGTGAGGGTGGGGTTTTTCTTTGAATTTTATATCTTGACCAGTTTTTGTGAAAGAGGCTGCTACTAGTATAATTTGATTGCTTCACGTTACTATAAATTATGTCGTTCAAACTAGTATAACATGAGCTTTCTTTTTCTTTAGGCATGACTGAAAGGACGACGGTATTTGTTCGTTGCATTTAAAAACATTCAAAACATGTGTACTTTATATTTTCCCGAGTAAGATTCTACATGGACACTAAACACATTTTCAACAAATTGTGCGAGTTATAACTACCCAACTTACTGAAAGTTTTTTAAAGTGTTACTAAGTCTGAATAAAGCAGCATTCGAAGTTAGCACAGTCTGCGTTGAGTTTTATAACTGAGATAATTTAAGATTTTTATAAATAATCATAAGAATAGTCCTTAAGACAACAATTAGATCAGCTGTGACTCATGTAGTCGAGAAGTAATATAAGACCGACCGTGAAAATTGTTTAAATCGAATACATACAATTGTTATTAAGGTTGCGAATTTTTGCTTTCATACAAAGATGTGTTTCGTGAAAAGACTTTTTGTAGCTTTTTTAAGTGTGTATTATTTGAGTTTAATGGTAGTCGTCGATATTTATATAATGTTTGGAATTTTCTTAAAAGCTTAGCATTTGCATTTGAACAATGAAATAGGAGTAAGCACAAGTGGGGACAAGCTGGGTATGGGCCTTTCAATAACGATACATGCGGAATCGTTCATTTTGATATGTCAAATTTTAATTCCTGCGCACAGACCTCCAAAGAGGTAATATATATGATTTTTCTTTACTTTTTAACAACTGTTCTTATGGCAATTTCGTTATTCCGTGTGCATTAAACCACTATTTCGTCAGGTTTGCACTTTTGAGGAGTTAAAATTATACGTATGCTTTTATATTTAATACCTCCTCTTTGTTTTTGTTGATATACAAGCATTGCAGTTAATTTATTTCACAAGCCCGTTTCAGTTCCTTAACTTATGGTAACCTTATGTCAAAATACCTAAATAAGACAAAGCAGTAGTTCTTAGGTTTTACACAACACTAAATTAAATTACTCAAAACACAATTTCACGTCATTCGTCTTCATTACTCTAAAGATTAGGGCTTTCCTTGATCTAATATGAAGAGGATTACTAAAGTCATAACTGTATGTGTTTTATTAGGCTCTTGCATGGTGTTATATGCTTGTCCATTAATATTACGTTTCGATCAGAGCAAGCTATGAACTTATAGCGAAACTAGAAATATATTTTACCGGGAAAACTAATCTAAACGAGGAAAACGTATGTCTCAATGATTGCTGCCAAATAAGTATGTCATAAAATCACTAAGTCATTAGGCAAACATAATCTCAAGAGGTAAACATTTGTTATCACTCAAAAAAAGATTTATGCCAGGCAAGAAATCAGATTTTTCATTAAAAAAAAACACACCAAAAAACGACAACTAAATGTATCAGCGTTTACTCTTATATTCAAACTTTTTATATTGTTGATTTTACAAAATCAGCGGCGATATTATTTGATTTATATATGATTTTGCCCCCCCCCCCCAGTGGCACAGCGGTATGTCTGCGGACTTACAACGCTAGAAACCAGGTTTCGATACCCGTGGTTGGCAGAGCACATATAGCCCATTGTGTAGCTTTGTGCTTAACTTAAAACAAAAAAAATCATATATAATTTTAAAGAAAAATATAAAAGAAGACTGTTCAGTTGTTTTCTGCCACTAGGGTGCACTTGGTGGTTTGGTATTGTTATTTCTATTGTAACGTATATTCAAATCGGGAGTATTAAGAATTTTTTATAGTTATTTAAGATGTCGTTTTCGCAACTAACAAACAGGTATATTGATTTAATTCCAACTTAAGTCAAAGATTGATCATTCTTCTTAACTACTCAAAACTTTGTAGGTATCCACGATAATTATATTTCATATACATTGTTTCTATAAGAATTTTAAGTAATAATGACTCTATAAGAAGTAAGTGGATAGCCACTTCAATTAAAAAAACTAATAGAATTTGATAATGATAAACGAAATATAAAAGCTTTGTCTAGAATAATATTCTTGACTTACCTATTATAGCGTGAACACGAACCGACAACTGAGTTCGCAGTATGATAGCATTCTTTCGACTGAAAAAATAATAAGAAGAAGAATTTAGTGTTTACGTACATTAAAAATTATACATGTTAAATAAATAAACACCAATAGAATAATGTAAACATTTGAAAAATAAGATAATTGTGTGTTTAGAGCTGTTAATTTCTTTGTATGATATTTTTATTTAGGTACTTTCAAATGAAATATTTAAAGAGATAAGATCAATTATATACAGTAACGTGTGATATTTAAACCATATATTGTAATTATAATAAAAGAAATATAAAAAGTAATAATTATTTTCACAAATAATTTCCAAACCGATATTATATTACTTTCTTCTATAATATCTCACCCTAAATGTGCATTATTATAATTCGTCCACTTATCAATTAGTATGTGCTGTGAAAAACTTCAAACATCGTTCTTGGACGTCCAACAAATTCCAGATAAGAGCTTTAAAAATGTGTTTCCAAAATTATTAGACACCCAGTATATTCAACCTTGTTTGAATGAGAAATTAAAATACTTCGCTGTAAAATAAAGTCATAAATAGAGGGCGATATCTAAAAGACTCCATTATGACATTCGACATATTCACCATAACACAATATATATATATGACCTGTGGTATGCCGGAAATTATTTTGAAAATAAAATAGTTGGACTTTTATGCCACAGGTATGTTTATATTTAATCTCCGTCCGATCATCTAACTGAAAGCAAGGCATAAAAGGAACTTCACATATAAGCCTTGACACTCATGTTATATTCCCAGTGTTCACTGGTGGCTAAATATTTTTTGATGCTCTAAATATAGTTTGATGTTTTGGTTTTCAGTAGAAATTGCAGCTCGTCAAGATGCTTACCAAGCTAATTTACTTTCCACCCACTCAGTTACTAGGAGCCAGTTCTACCGGAAGCGTCACGTAGTGTATTTGCATGCATGTAAATAGAAGCAAATACAACTATACTTAGCATGTGGATTTCGAAAAACAGTAATATCTGAAGTAAATGCCAACATAAACATAGAATGGACTTGTTCAAAATTTTCCAGTTTCGTGATACGAACTGGGATTAAAGAGACCTGTTGCTGGTATGGAAGTAATAACCAAGAAGTTTCAGACGTAATTATACTAACAAGCATTTTTCTACGTCAATTCATGGAAAGTTGAAGATAATTGATGTAGAAATTAGAGAGTAAACATTCTACCACTCCCATGAAAGATCGAGGTTAATCTTTGTGTTCGTGTAAAAGATAATTTCTAAATGTCTTTATTTTGTTATCATACAGTGTTCATAATCAAGTCATAACCGGACTGAAGACATCTTTCTATAGCTTTGTAGCATTGAGTTAAGGCTAAGAAATAAAAATAAACGGAAATCAACTCCTAATACTTTAACCACTCCAGCTTTGTCTGACCGTGAAATGAATAACTTTAATAATGTGTACTTAGAATCATATATCCAAACAAACACACGAAGTATGTAAGGTCAAATTCTAATCTCCCGTCCTCGTTTTATTTGTTCTCGTTAATTACTACTTTCTGGAAACTGATTCTCATACGTATATTAGAAAGCTACGGTTAACATTTTGAATAATTTCATGTAGCTTGACTATAATTACGTTACACTAAGTTAAGAAACATGTTTGTGTGAAAGCAGATTATATAACATGACAGCATCAGCGATATATATATAAGAAGCTGGTTGCTCACGTTATTTTCTAAAAATATATAAATGCTGAAGAGATTTTTCATGATTCGCAGTAAGAATTAATTCACATCTTTTTTCAAGGAAATGCTTAACACTGTTCTGATTGTAATGAAAACTTAAAATCGAATGCAAACTTTGTCCATCTCAAAAGGAATAGATATTAATAATGTAATTTTCATAATTTGTCGGGCCAGGTGGTTATGGCGCTTGACTCGCAATCTGAGTGTTGCGGGTTCGAATTCCCATCCCACCAAACATGCTCGCCCTTTCAGCCATGGGGGCGTTATAATGTGACGATCAATCTCACCATTTGTTGGTAAAAGAGTAGCTGCTTTCCCCCTAGTCTTTCACTGCTAAATTAAAGATGGCTAGCGCAGATAACCCTCGTGTAGTTTTGCGCGCAATTCAAAACAAACCATTATTTGTTGACATATTCAATAACATTCAGTATGTTAGCAAATGTTTATGGTCATGAATATTGTGGAACGAAATTTTGTGCAGTTTAATCATTTTTCTCGTATTAATGAATTTTGAAACCAAACTAATGAAAAGAAACATGAACGCTCATCACGGGCATGATGTCATACTTCTACCAAAAGCAGTTTAGACTGTTAATTTAACTTAAATGGGAGAATAAGTAAAATGTTTTTGTTCCAGTTGGTTATGAGATCCAGTCCATAATGCATATTGTAAAATTAAAAAAAATCAAGATTTACCTATAGCGACACTACTAGATATCGGTAATGGTAATGCGATATTTAATTCATTATTGTTTTATTGTGCTGATTTAATCGCCTATTAATAATTAATGTAATCAATAGTTTGTAAGATGTTTACTTATATATATATATATACAGTCATGTTTCTCTAATCTTTAGTTTTTATAGTCAGATAAGTAAATATATTGTGCCTTCACAAGAGCTTCTGCAAACAATATACTTTACTTCGCTGTATGCGTAAAATTTTAATATTAATATATTTCTCCGGATACAAGTGCTAAAACTGCATTTTAAGATAAAACTATTAAGTCATTTACATTGTACATATTCAAGCATTTAGCACTAGTGCAGCACCAAAAAACTGTAAGTTGTAATTCAGCAAGGACGCAAGAATGATTTTTTATTTAATATTCATACATTCTGAGCTTCATACTATAAAAAGAAATAAAAAAAATCACACTAGTTCTGACAAACGTATTTGATTGAGCTGCCCAGTATTTTTGTGGTGAGCTCTCTTTCTGGTTTTCGTTTATTTTGTATTTGTTTTTACAAATTCAGGAGATTTATTCTCCTTAATAAGCCTTTCTAGCGAGTACAACTCTGGTTCAAATGCGCTTCATAATGATAAAAATGTTCACACACTATTTACTCTCATTAAGATCGGTTAGGTCTTTGACATGATGGGCGGAGTGAATTAATCATCGTCAGTCCACATTCGACCGTCATAAATCAAATTTTTTCGGTCAATGCTGTAGGATGAATAGTTTCATTACTATATTAAAATTAATTGTAGTTTTTAATTAGATATTTTTAAGTGTGCTATCTAGGAACGGAAACTATATAATAATAAACAGTAAAAAAAGATGTAAAAAGAACAAAAGATTTAATACCTATCATTCAACTTTTGTGAATCTATAAGTAACCCTAGAAAGGTATTTCTTACCATGTCTTAACCTCAATATCAGGACTCGCCGGCAGACGATGAAAGCTCTAATACTATCTTTCAATGATGAACTAGTATTAGAGATTTCGAACAATGCAACTTATGCGTTCATCGGTTCACCTCTTGTAGATAGATCGTTATTTAAAATTGAGTTCTTCTCCCGTTTTTGTCAAAGTTATGGTGGAAGTACATTACCTCCTACAAAGTAATTTATCTATCAAAGAGATGTTTTCAGACAACATACATTGAGAGAATCTCTGAAAGTCACGGTTTCTCTAGTCTCAGGTGCAAAGGTTGGAAGATGTGATGTTTACAGGAGATGCAAACGTTTTGGGTGCTATTACGATGGAGTTTCTATTGAAGTTAAAGCAATCAAAAAAGAGGTTGTTCAAAACCTATATAAACCAATAAAAGGAAGACAAGAAAACTATGAAGCAGCATAGATAGTAAGATACTTTTTTTCTTGTCATTGTAGCTGCTTTCATTGTTTTAAATAGTTCAGTGATCGACAGACTTAAATATGATTGAACAGACCTCAACCAACGAAATTCATAAGAAACAAACGAAGAACATTTATTGTTCTTTCTACTATGTGCATAGTGTCCAAGATGTCATGAATATGTTGAAAACCATTATTGCAAATCTAGGTCAAAACGGAATAACCTTGGCAAAAATAGTATTGTTTTGGGAAGGCTTTTCATAAAAACCAAAACAACATTTTGGGAGTTTCATTGCGTTTTCTCGAAGCAAGAGGAAAGAACCTCAAATTTATGTAGAATTTTATATGAGAAACTGGTTTAACGGATTTGTTCTTGTTCAACGTCGTTACCAAAACATGGCCAAATCTATACGATCGAGTTATAATTTTAGAGCTAATACATCGTGTATGCAGTTTGAAGACCGCTTATCATAAAGAAAGATAGGTATATGTCAGGAGAGAAGGCTATATGGTGTCGATATATATATATATACGCATAGACGCAGTAACAATGTATATTTTATGAATTGCTTCATTTGTAGTCTATAAATGCCACATTTTCTCTTGTGATCACACCCCTTTAACCCCATAGGATGCTCGTTTGGCATGGCTTTATGGTTAGGGCGCTTGACTCCCAATCTTCGGCTCGGCGCCCGAACGTACTCGCAATTTCAGCTGTGGGGAGTTATAATGTAGCAGCCGATATCGCAGTATACGTTGGTGTGGAGTAGCATGAGAGCTACCAGCCAGCTGCCTTCCTTTTGATCAGAAATTTAAGATTAGGCAGCAGGTATCCTTAGTAGTTTTGCCATAAACAAAATCATTCAGCCCACCCAGGTAGCTTTTGCTTCCTCCGCCTGTGCATACCCATATAAATAGTACAATAGAACCTAAGATTTTAAAAAAAGAAATCTAATTACATTAGACCATTAAGGGGACTGGAACGCTAACTTCAGATCAGGTTGTCGTAAATTGTTTTATTTGAATTTTATATTTATAACTCTCTTTCATCAGAAGTAACTATCTTCCCACAAATGTTTGCAGAAAGTGAAGAGTAGTTTAGACGTGCGACGTTGTTGGCTGAAGCACTCGCATACGCTGTTAATTATATTTTATGTCCCTCCCCTTTATTTATGTAAGGCTAGCGAATAGAAGTTAAATCTTACGGATGATCTA